AAAAAAATACAAGAAAGAATCGAATACATGTTCCTGCTGGGATACATTGTGCTCCATTTTGACATGGTGATTGTGCACAAGGATTGAATGGTGTTGTTGTTACTACTCGACTTTCACAACATCGACCGGTAAATGTTGGAAGGCATTGACATATAAATGATATACCTTGTGACGAACATAATCCACCATTCAAACATGGATTTGGTTGACATGGTGTAGCAGCTAATAAAGAAATTTTAAATAGTATTCAGAAAATTTTTTGATAAAAATTTCTTACCTGGAGCTTCACAACGATTACCAGCAAATGTAGCTGGACAATTACAAATAAATCCTTGTCCATTCATTAAACATTGACCACCATTGAGACCTAAATATAAATAATAATCTATTGATTAAAAATAATCTTAATTCGAATTTTTACATGGATTTATTGCACATGGATTTCGTGTTTGAACTAGAATTAAATGTAAACGATATCTTAATTAAAAAGTAAAATAAATCTATCATACTAGCTGCTGATGTTGGTAAACATTGAGCAGTACCACAAACACATTGAACAGTAGTAACGATAACTGCACAAGCACCAGTCGCACACATTGTACATTGATATTGTCTAGGTGTTACTATTTTTCCAAGTGCACGTGCTTCACTTAATGTACGACCAATTGTAATATTATTAAGAGCATTTCGATCAGCTTCATATATTTTAATTCCTTTATCTATTAGATTTTTGAACAAAAAAACACAATTCATTTTAGAAAAATAGAATAACTAATTACCGAGATTAATTTGTTTTGCTCGTGGTTGTCCATTACATGCTTCAACATATTCTTTCCAAACACATGTTTTTAATGAATCTTCCCATGCTGTACCTGGTGGACAAGTAAATCTAATACGTAAATTATGAAAGCATCGAATAAATTTTGTACAATCCGCTGGATCAGCAGAAAAATCTACACATGAACCTAATATATGTTTTTACATTAATGTGTATATGCTTATAGTTTATAACAACATACTTTGACTGTTAACAGCAATAATTACTGTAGCAATAACATATAAAATCATATAGCGATATGTGAATACCATTGTTCGATTTTTTGGTAATACTCGAAATGCAACGAAATTTAAATAATACGTCCTTTTTTAAAGCTTAGTGAGAGGCGTAATGTTCTCAAATAATCAAGACGTGGCTATCGCATATAAAAACAATGAATCGATATTGATATATATAAAGATCAATCTTATTTTTCTTTTGCGGTTGTTTTTCAACTAAAACATGTAGGCGATATAGTAATCTTCTTGTGACTTATTTTGGTATTTTTACTAAAAACAAAAAGGTAAAGATGAGGGACGAATGTGATGTTTGCTAGTTGATATTTAGTTAAGAAAAAAAAGAATACTCATACTACGATAGGACTACAGTTTTTGAATACTAATTTATTTAAGAAAGAAAATTAAAATTTTTTCAAATAATAATATTTATTTATTCATAATTGATTTTTCTTCATAGGAAAAAAAGATGTATTATTGCAAGCAATTAATTTCTTCATTTTATATAAAAATTCAGATTATTAGCTTTTTTAGAGATTTGATAACCTTTTAATTGTCTAATCTGTTATTGCTTTGCAAGTTTAGTTTCATAATAAATAGTTAAACTTTAAAACGAAAAAAGTCAAACGGTAGATATATATTTTTTCGTTGACGTCATTATTTTGCATGTGATTTATCACGGGAAATGACGTTGAATTGTTTTTGCTTTTACAAGTCATAGATTTAACATTTGATTGTTATTTAATGAAAACTAGCACATAATAATTCAAACTAAATTACAATTTAAGACAAACCAGTCGTAGAAAAAGATCCTTCTTAATTCATTCATGAATCCCGCGTTTCATTGAACGCTAGACGTATTACCATATTCAATTCCAGTGAAATCCGCTAAAGATTAAATATTAGAATAGTAAGAAAAAATCAATGAAGTTGAAGTAATTACTAGAAAATTTAGTTTGGTAAGTATACTTGATCTAACTTGACACATCATCAATTTCTTCCTGTTTTATTCATGACTTCTTAAGCGGAAATGACATATACAATTCTAGTAGTAAATATATATATATATGCCTAATTATGTAGTCGAACACAATTCTCTATTTGACTTCATTTGACCCATTATGATTCTTAATTTAAAATTCTTTTCATCTAGGTTTTCTCTTTATACATTATAAAGAAGGTATAAGAAATAACCAAGCGAGAGGAGAAAAAAAGAGAACGATAATTTATTATTAATAATTTTGAGAAGATAAAGTAGAAAATCTTCTATCATTCAAATCGAAATCAACCGATAAACAATCTAATTGAACGCTATGCTAATCGATAAGAAAAGAGCGAAAAAAAGAAAAGATTTATTATGACATTTTGACAGAAGTTCATCAGACATAGAAATGTACTGTTGACGATAATGGTACCAATATATATCTATCTATATGTATGTATGTAGCAGCCGACGCACGTTCTGATTACATCAATATGAAAAAGAATGTTTATTAATGGAAATAACTTGATTTAACTAACAACGAAGCAAGATCATTATCTGTTTGTACAGTAACAAAGAAGAAGACAGACAACTGTTGTTTAGTTTATACTAATACCCAATCTTATATTAACGAGAGCAAGAGAAGAAGAAGAAGAAAAAAAATAAAATCATTTTCGATTGTTCTCTCTTACATCTCAATTACATAATAATAAAGAAAATGTATTACAGGAAAAAAAAGAAGACGACGAGAGAATCAGACTGTATTAACTAACACTTCTGATGTGAAGACAGACACAATGGTACTATTAAATAGTCATACATGCGATGGTGGGAATCGGACATTACTTTGGTCACAATTTTGTGATGGTATTATTGATTGTCATGATCGTTTCGATGAAGAAGGACATTTTTGTAGTGAGTTAAAAACTAATCATAATTATTTATTTACGTATTTTCTAAATAGAACTTTGTATTAATAATCTTTATTCATGTTCATCCAAAGATGAAATACGCTGTGATTTAGCTTGTAAAATGCTTCATTATGTACCTTGTCAAACTATACAAGATCGTCGAGCGTGTAGTAATATATATAAATCTTGTAAGTTCATATTCTCTTTCCGGAAATAAGATCATTGTAATGATATTTATCTTCTATTATAGATAACAATAATTCATTCTTTCAATTGTTTGAAGAATTTAAAATCTATATCGGTATGTTCTTTTTAAATATTCGTCTATTAAACTTTTCTGAAACTATTTTTAGTTGTTACTGTTGTTACTCTTCTTGTTTTAATTTGCATTAGTATATTTATAAAATATTTTATTCAACAACGTAAAGCCAAATCTGTAATGAAAGTAATATATTACAGTTAATTTTCTATTCCTATGTCTCTCTTTAATATTTAGTCAACAACTTTTTGCAATGTATCAATCAAACCGATCGAATCCGATACATTGTCCAGTCATATTTATGAACAATGTTATGAATCACCAAATTATGAAACTAAACAAAAATATCCATGGACGAAGACATATTATGAACATGTGGTTTGATAAAAAAAAATGTTGTTTAGTATATAATAATATCAATAAATTAAATAATTTCTCTTACTAAAAAAAATCACGTATATATATATACAGTGAAAATAAAGAATTTATGTAATATATTCCATATAAACTACATATAGAGCAATACATTTCAAAATTACGATCAATCAGTTAAATATTCCTAAAAAAAGTATACTCGAGTTTGGACAAGACTAAAAAATATTGAGTAAAGACGTCGTCGATACATGTATAAGACTTTTACATCAGTAGTCAGGGGTGGCGCGATCGGAGAAGGGGGTGTAACACCCTCCCCCAATCTTCGAAATTTTCTATTTTTTGCTCAACAAAATCGGCAAATCTTCTTAGGTTTTTTACCAAAGATGATGCTACACCCCCCCTCCCAATGTTGTCTGACTCGCACCACCCCTGTCAATAGTCATAAGCCACAGTTGAATGTAGAGGATAGATAGTGAAAAGTAATAAACTACTATGTTCAACTTATCAACCTCTTGTTTTTTATTTGTAATAAAAAAAGAAGCTATGATGATCCGATAGTTCATCTAATATACCAGTCTTTTCATTTATTGGCAATTCTTTATCTTTTGATAATGAAAGTTTGATTTCACTCTGATTTTCTTAAACGTATTCCGTAGGAAAAATCTACAATTGACTCTCTAGATATTTTTATTTTAGATAAATATTGCCTAAGAAAAGGATTTTATCATAGATAAGCGCTATAATCCACGTGAATATGATTAACCAATGAAAAAATATCGCCATTTGCTGTTATTGTATAAATGTTATATTTTATTATTATTTTTTTTTAAAGTCTAATAAACTTTTATGGAGAAAAATTTTATTTCTAAAAATTTTTCGTATAAAAATTCTCTAAAAAGAAAAGGATCATTTTGATGGATTACTTCATTTTTATTGGTTAAATAAAATGGTTTGGTAATTTTTGGTTGTTTGCTTGTTCCTCTTCGTATTCAGTTATTGTTTTTTCATGAAAATCCTTTTAAAAATGTGTGAAATTTCATCATCGATTTGTTCATCACCAATAGGTCATTTAGCAATAGATTATTGTCCACAAGGTTTACATTTTATTATACAAGTACCAACTATTAACGATAAAACTTTTATAGCAGATGAAAAGTTAATATCGTAATAGTTTCTCATATTTAATAATAAATACTTTGCATCTTTAGTCAACCCATTGAAATTGTCTCAACAACTGGAAAAGATTCGCTTCCTAAATCGTGTCTTCAATGGCTTGATAGTTATTTTCATTCAAACGAAAAAACATTGATAACACCTGAACTTTGTCCAACTGTAATTACAAAAAATGATTCATTTCAAGCAAATGTTTGGCGTACACTTTTAAATCAAGTTCATTATGGTCAAACAGTAACATATGGTGAATTAGCTGAATTAGCTGGAAATAAACGAGCTGCACGTGCTGTTGGAACAGCTATGCGTCGTAATCCATTTCAATTAATTGTACCATGTCATCGAGTTATTCGTTCTAATGGTGAATTAGGAAATTATGCAGGAGGTGTAAGAAATAATACTAAAGTTTGGTTACTTAAACATGAACAAAATTAAATTGTATATTAAATAGTCATATATTAATCATTTATTTTATTCTAGATAAATTCTCTATTTAAATATATATATTATCTTATATAAGAAATGGCCGCACGGGGTTCAGCACGAAATTCAAGATTGAATAAGAAACCAAAGAAAACTAAATTACGTGGTATGTTAAATTTTCTTATGTGCTTACAAATATTAAAGTGTAAAACAGGAGACGATGTGAGATTTGAGTTTTTTGTCTTTCTCATAAATGATATGTTCTGAGATGTACTTGCATATCAATAAAAATCATTGAAAAATAATGAAGAAAATTGTATTGTCAGGAAATACAAAATTATTTTAGAGTCGTACTCATAATAGCGAGATTTGTTTATGTTGATATTTGATTCGACGAAGGTTTCAGAATATTTGATATTTCAACATAATAAGTTTGAAGAATTCTCTGGATGACATCTTCTCTATTAGAAATTAATGGGATTGAGTTATTCTATTCTATAACGTTGAATAGCAGGAAGTATTTCATTGATTTCAATCATTGTGATGTCATTTGATGATTTTACTCTTTCTATTTATCGATATGTACAGAAAAGTTCATAATAAAGAGTGTCTCTAGAAGTTTGGTGTTTTACTTTCTATATTAAAATTTTTGTTTAGGTAACGTCTCACACGGTCATGGTCGTGTTGGTAAACATCGTAAACATCCTGGTGGTCGTGGTAATGCTGGTGGTCTTCATCATCACCGTACACTTTTTGATAAATACCATCCTGGTTACTTCGGTAAAGTTGGTCAACGTGAATTTCATAAACTTAAAAATCGACGTTGGTGTCCAACAGTTAATCTCGATCGATTATGGTCATTATTAACTCAACGTACACAAGAAAAACTCAGTGGTGGAGAAGCTGCTGTTACACC